ACTCTATCCAGCTGACCGACCGACTGAACTCCACCATCCTCACTCCCTAGGAACCAAGTATTAGATCACCACTCTTCCTATGCCACCGACCGACCGACCTGGTCTTTTCAAACTTTGACTATCACCACTCACCCCATCCCACGCCACCGATCAACACACAGACTTAACCTGTCTAAAGATTCAATCGCCCTTCCTACCCGACCGAGCCAGCATATTGCAACAGGTTAGCTCCCGCAACGAAGCCGACACTCCCATGCTTCACGTCCAGGAGATTCTCCCAATCGGGGCAATTGGCTAAGAGCAGTCTAGCACTTGTTCATCTCGAGGCGATCAAGGTAAGGGGCCTCGCCCATTCGGTCTTCCATAGCGGACGAGTGGGCAGCCATGGGTCAAATGTTTGCGCATTTTATTTGGCCCTTTGGCATCCAGTAAAGAGCGTCGTGGAATCACAAGCGCAAGTCTTACGGTCCAACAAGTTGGCCGAGCCGATTCCATCCCACTCGATCACTCGAGTACCCCAACCGAACGAACCTTTAATTTAACATCGTCTCCAACTCATTCGACCCGGCATGCCGAGTGGATACCCCTGTCATGGGATTTTAGTTCACTTCTCCAATCGGCAGGACACACCGAACGAGCACGTGAGCCCTAAAAGTCTCGTTATCTTAGTCCCTTCGACCCTTCTTACTGATCGGGCACACTTTCTTGGGTGATTGAACATTCTGGATCAGCTTTGATACCGAGAGACCCTTGACTACGAATAACCTACATCAAACTGGTCAGCTACGCCAATAATTGGCCGTCCAGGAAGGGAGACTGAGCGTGCCTCGATCGCTTCCTACTCTCTGACTTAAGAAAAACTCAACTTAGAGAGTGGGGGGCAAACTGTTAGGGCCAAAAATCTTCCTTGGCCCAAATAAGAGAATGAGACTGAATGAGGAAGAGACCAGGCCTAATCCCGATACGGCCCCATCTGGATTAGGCCCATTTGATACGAGATACAATCGGCCCAAACCATCGGGTCCAGGCCTCCAAATCCCAGTTCACTTTCTAGACCTATGAGCAAGTCCAGAGCCCACGGCACCCACATATCACTTTCCTATTCCAGATCAGTCTCCTATTCGAGGTCACCTTCCTGTTCAGGTCACTTTCCTACTCGAGGTTACTTTCCTGTTCGGGATCACCCTCCTATTTGAACATTGGTAAGATAGCTCACCACCGCCCTAATTCCTCTATGGTTTGTATCAGAGTCACACTAGGACTCTTACTCCCACCAGGACTGGGAGACCAAACAATCACTATATAAGCAAAGGTCAGCCCTCTCACAAGGGAGATTAGATTACATTACACCTTCACACCCGAAGCTCTTACTTGAGAGCTTCACATCACTGCCGCAGTCACAGTCCCCGTCTAGACTTCTAGTAACGTCTCTACTCCCTGCCCTCACTATACTAGACTCTTTCAGCCTTGCTGACTTGAGCGTCGGAGTGCCTATGGCAAACACCACCTTGGTGTTTTCCGTTTGCTTCACGCTTGTTTCTCTATGTGTGCAGGTGCAGCGGATCGCTAGTGGCCTCAACCTCACGGGATCAGACCCCCCTTCCATATAGGTAGATTTTTACGTCTACATATATCAAAAGAATTGATTGGTTAGAAAAATTTATAATTATCATAAATTTGTTAATTTTATAAAGAAAACATTAAATGTATAAAAGAATAAAAAATGGTGGTATTACGTTCATATAATAAAAAATATTAGTTTTCTTAAATTTCTTTATAAAGAAATTTTTTCTTCTCTACGTTGCTGTGTAGGCATCCATCAACAGAAACACCTTTTTTCCCTTATTTCTTGGACACCTTGACCAGTTTGCTTCAATATTTTAAAGTAAAGGTAAATAAAACTAATAATTAAAATAGAATTGATATATAAGAACCAAGTAATACTATTCTTGTCAAAACTTATTCCAAATTTCATATCTTAAATTATGTGTCATCATATATGATATTGATATATAAATGAAGTGATGATGTATTAAATGATATGATAATCTCATATATTTACTGCATTAAAAAACAATAAAAAGGTCCAGCTTGTACTATGAAGTAGCCTAGGGGTGTAAACGAGCTGAGTCGAGTCGAGCTTAGCTTTGGACTAATCGAGCTTGACTCGTTTGCTATAGTGTCAAGCTCGAGTTCGAGCTTGAGTTTTAAAAAAAAAAAAACTCTCAACTTTTCCACTTTCCCAATGAGCTCGAGCTTTTCGAGCCAAGTTCTCATGAGCTCGACACTATAGTCGAGTCGAGCCGAGCACAAGCTTCCACCAAGCCAAGCGCGAGTGGCTTGACTCGGCTCGGCCGACACCCTTACTATGAACAAGTTACACGAGCTGACATTACGTTAAACCAAACAAAAGGTGGGGATATATAAGTGATTTTGACTTTAAAATACCGAATAGATGGTTGATACTCTTAGTGCAAAGGGATACAAATAATACAATTTTCAAACTTTAAGGGTCCACTTGATTAAAAGTGAAAAAGTAATTAACTAGATCTAAGATTCTTCATAGTGGTATTGTTGTACCTGACATTGGGGGCGTCCAATTGAGGTTGGCCTTTGTCCACATCCTGGACAAAGGGGGCATGAAATTCCAAAACTGTTTTGTTTTGTTAAACGTTGGTTTTTGTTGATACGAAAATTCGTACCAACCAAAGAGATTCGATTGACCTTAGTGGAATCGAAATAGATATGGACGTGATTACGAATAATCAACGATGGGTGAATGATAAGTGCAATAAAGTAAAAGATAATAAGATTTTTAAAGTGGTTCGTGCGAGGTAACCTCTTATGCCTACGTCCACTATTCTTGTATTTGCTGTGAGAGATTACAATAAGAGTTTTATGAAAAATTTCTAACCCCTTTTTAATCATTTAAGGGGGTTTATATACAAGGTTTGTACAAAGAAAAGAGCAAAAATAAAATGATTACAATTGATTTGAACTGCAACTCCGATATTCTCGTAATTGAGCGTTGTAATTGCACAGAGATTATTGTTAATCTGGTCATTCCCGTAATATCTAGGATTTGAAGCTATTTGGGAATTGATTGAACGATCATCTGGGTTATTCGCGACTAGCTTGTGCTGAGTCAAGTTATAAGCTCATGCTGGGTTGAACAACCGGTAGAGTCGGATTGATTCTTGGTCGATCTAATACCTCGCAACTCACTGAGTTTGATGAAAAAATCACACACAACAGTTTTGTTTAAAGATGTTCAATGGATAGAATCAGTTGGCATGATATGAAATTATATAGATAGATCTTAAATATATCAAATAATATAGTTTTTCATATCAGCACAAAATTAGCAAACCATATATACAAAATGTATATATACGACACAATTTAATACTTCCATTGATCGTAATATAAATGTTTTCGATGTTTGCCTTTTATAGACACTTCATATGAGCTTAAATGATATATTATATGAGTGTTTTGTATTAAAACGACATGTCTTATGGTGTCTCATACTAGATTAAGTTCTTGGTTGCGGGCCGGATTGTGTATCTTTTTCAATGCAAAAGGTTTCGTTGGGAGCCACTAATTAAAAGCACCATGAGAGGAATGATTTAATCGAGCAATAAATGCACAAAGTTGTTCTGAAAATTTTAATTTAATGTCCTATGATTGCCTACGATGATGAAGACGGTGATTAATTTTTGATGTCCTAAGGGTTATTTTTTTAATTTGGGTGTGTTGACACCAAACTCTCATATCGGTTAAGAGATAAGAGCCATAGTCCTCTATATAGTACAATAACACTCTTAAAAACCTAGAGACATCTTTTTAGGACAAAACCATGCTGGCTGGTCAACAACTCAGCTTATACGCCCAAAACGAATAATACCTTGAAAACCCACATTCTATGTGACTGGAGACGGCATAACAACAGTCATCAGGGTGCAAAGTAGGATTGTTAAGGGTAAAAAGGGTATTATGATGGACGAAGAGCTATAGGTGGAACGTTTATGGGTGCGTTTGATTTATTATTTTAGATAGGATTTTGGGAATAATATTGGGTAGTTGAATAGGAGAGAATTACGAGGTAAAATTTAAAAATTTATAAAAAAGCCCCTAGGTTTACTAATTTTTAAACACCCGAACATATAAAATGACAAAAATACCCCCACCACTTGCAGTGCTAGATTGCGGCCACCACCGTTGGAATCTGGCCCGAAAATCGCGTTACGACACAGACCTATCGGATCTGTGTTGTAATGCGTCGTTATGGCCTTTTTCGGCCAGATCTACGGCTTGCTGTGGCCGTCGACGGTTGGAAAAGGCCAAAACGATGGTCATCTTTGGCCGTTGCTGACGGCCAGATCGGTGAATTACCGGTCAGTTCTGGTCAGTAATTCATCGTTGTAGAAGATTTCGGATACCACCGACGGTGGTTGTAGGAATCTGGCAAGTATGGGTAATGGGGGTGTTTTTGTTAGTTTTTAAACTTTTTTAGGAGGTATTTAATGAAATTAATAACCTTATGGGGTCTAAAAGTAATTAAAAAAATAGGGTAATATTTCTGGAATAATGTGCGAAATATTATTTGAAGAATAGGATTGGAAATATGGGTAGAAATAATAAGCCAAACATGATATTTAAAACCATGGGCATCAATATTCGCCAAATATAGGGTGAATAACGTAATTCAGCTTTTAGTTTTTATAAAAGTTTAATATTTGATTAAAAAAACAAAAAACAAAAAATTAAAAAGACCACTAGACCAGCCTAACTACGAACAAGCCACACGAGCTGACGGCCACAATAAATTAAAGTATTAAACAAAAGGTAGGGATATATTCGTAATTTCAACTTATAATTACAGATAGACGGTGGATACTCTTTTGGCTGCTATAAATGTATCGCTAATCTCAATGTTTTCACCTTCTCTTGCAAGAATTTCTCTCTTCAAACTCCAGAAATATCTGGTTAGTTCTCTTTCCCTTTACACCTGAAATCTTGATCTTCCCTGCTCTGCAATTCAAATTTCGTTCTGGGTTTTTCGTTTTTTTCCTGTTTCGTTTCGTTTTGTCTGGCATGATTATGATTGTACTGCCATCTGGGGTGAGTGTTTTGTGGTAATTGTTTGTGAAAAATTCCATCTTTTTGTTGTAATGAACATGATTTCATCTGGGTTGCCATAGATTTTTTGTTTTTGTTTTCTTGTTTTCGTTTCCTGTTCTGTGGTTGATTGTTGACCTTTCTTTTATGTGAGAAAAATGGAATTTATGTGGCTTATGGTTAATCATGTGGTATATTTTTTCAGTTGACTTTACCAAAAAAAACCTTTTGTCTGATCAATTGATTATTTTCTGCTTTTGATGTCTGCAAATCACAGAGAGAGAGAGAGAGAGAGAGAGAGAGAGAGAGAGAGAGAGAGAGCTGTTGTTGTAGTTTGAAGCTTCTGAGTTACACTAATTTTTGTTCTGGTTCCTGCAATGAGAAAGAAAATTATACCCAAAGTTTTCCTTACTTTAAAAGTTGAAGGTTCCGGTAGCAGTCCACAGTTTAGAACTTGGTGAACTAGAGAGAGAGAGCTGTTGTTGTAGTTTGAAGCTTCTGAGTTACACTAATTTTTGTTCTGGTTCCTGCAATGAGAAAGAAAATTATACCCAAAGTTTTCCTTACTTTAAAAGTTGAAGGTTCCGGTAGCAGTCCACAGTTTAGAACTTGGTGAACTTAATACTTATAAGATATGTTTTTGGGGTTTATATATAAGTAATCTGATTCATGAACATGATGATGTTTAATCTGTGTATGTAATAATTTTTATTTAATAGAACTGCTACCGGTTTGGATTTGTAGGGAAGTGAAAGAGTATGAGCTCATTTACTGTCTTTTAAATGTGGCTTACTAGTTTATTTCTGTATTTATCATTGATGCTAAGCCTATATACATTCAATTTGTAAAGGTTTTTTCTTCCCCTATTTGAATGTTTTCTTTATAAGAATAACATGATTTCTTATGTGTTCTTTTCATCTGATTATAATTGTACATGATTACTTATTTGCTAAGTTTGATATGATTATATAGGGCTCTGGAATTTAATTTTGTGAAGTGAAAAATAAAGGGGAATTTAGTTTTCTGTGGTGACATTTTTACTTCCGAAAAATGCCAAAGGATAGAAGAGTTCAATCTTTGTCTTTTGATCGGTCTAGGGCATCTCCTTACCCTTGCAATTCTAGTTCCAGGGATCCCAAACCGAACAAACTTGAAATACTTGAGGATACAAGAGAGTGGGAGGAAGTTAGGTGCCCAATCTGCCTGGAACACCCCCACAATGCTGTTCTCTTGCACTGTTCTTCTTCCAAGAAGGGATGCCAACCTTACATGTGCAATACAAGCTATCGTCACTCGAATTGCCTTGACCAGTTCCTTAAGACATCCGCATCTACTCCTTCAACAGAAATAAGACAAGACATTCCCTCTGCAGGCTTGAACTCATCTGGAACAGCAGAGGAAGCCTCAATGTCTGTGCAATCCAGGCATGATGTGATACTGTTGCAGCCAAAGCTTGGTTGCCCTCTCTGTCGGGGAGAAATTTATGGGTATAGTGTGGTAGAAGCTGCACGTCAGTTTATGAATTCTAAAGTGCGTAGTTGTTCTTGTGAGAATTGTGATTTTAGTGGTTCTTATTCAGAACTGAGGAAGCATGCTCGGTCGGATCACCCATCTACACGGCCAACAGAGGTGGATCCAGAACGGCAGCACGATTGGAGAAGGTTGGAGGATATAAGAGGGTTTAGGGACTTCCTTACTATTATGCAACCTGTAACAGGGGAAGAACACAGCGAGGAAAATGCTTCTTCCGATTTTATGCTCTACTTACTTTTGGGATCATATCTCATTTATGAAGTAGAAGAATTCCTTGTTAGTAGAGATAGACAGCTAGTGCATGACGATAGGGTCTCAGGGAGACCGTTGAGATTTAGGTATGACAGAGAGACTAATTATGCCCCAAGGCATAGATCAATGAATGATACTCGACCAGGGAGGACAAATGCTGGCAGGCACAACAATATGGAGGTTAACCGTTCCTCTCGATGGATCGATAGTTCACGAGCAGGAAGAGTAAACCATGGCAGGTATAGTAACGAGACTAATCATTTTCCCAGATGGAATGACTATTCACGTCCTCGTACAACAAATCCTGGCCAAGGATTGCGGTGGCGAGGACAACAAAGGTCTAGATTCAATAACCAACGGTAATAGCAGCATCTTAGTGATCATACTGCTTGTCGAACAACCCTTAGTGTTTAGTTTTGAATGTAAGTGCTCTTTCTCTTGCACTTTTCCCCTTTCCCTTCTTGTTCACTCTTTTGTTAAGGTTTGTAGCAATACTGATTTGGATTGATTTAAGCTTTTTCGATTTGCAGATAGGACCAACAGCATGTTTGAAGACATATTCATCTTCTTTGGTCAGCATTCAGGCTCATGAAGCTGAGACTAGGTCCCTAGGATAGTAAAACAAAGAAGGAGCTAATGTATTTTGTTACTGAATTTTGAAGGTTCTATCCTAGACTGAATGGAAAGGGGTTCTGAATCACCTCATTTTACTGTGAATCTCATGTATTTTTAATTAAGAAATGCAAAGTTAATTTTATTTTCTTTCACAGTTCTTGATTGTCATAGCTTATTTATTCACTTTGAAATTGTTCAAATCATTGTACTAGGCTGCAGTACCCAATCCAGTATACAAGGCCACTGGATTCAAGTTAAAGTTGGTCTTGTCTGCAGCCAAGGAGTAAATACTGAAACTCGAAAATGTTGCTTAAAGTGTAACAATAATGCTGCGGATGCTGAAGGTTTTCATCGAATTTTTGCACCGATCGACGTGTCGTCTGAGTCAGACGCAGTTACGTAGCATATTAACAACTATTCTGCGAATGAACGGTCGTTTATCAAATATGGACAAGCTTCCTTGGTTATTGGACGGTTGTTCATTTTAAATGGACTCTCGTCCATACAAAAATAACAATGGACTTTCATCCATATTATATGGGTAGGAATCCATTTACTATGGATGAGCGCCCACTTAGAATGGATGTCCATCCATAGTTTAAATTATAAAATTTATAAAAAAATAAGCATGGACGTCCTTCCATATTATATAGATGGGCGTTCATATTTAAATATTTAATGGATGGACGTCTCTATTAGATGGATGGTTGTCTATTGACATACGATTAGAGATGGGCATTTGGGATCGGGCCCAAAAGCTCAGCTCTAAAACCCGGTCCTAGGACCAGTCCTTGAGAGGACCGGACCTAGGAGGCGGGCCCGAGCCCTCCACTGGGCCCTCCTCCAAGGCCCGGGCCTGGGACCGGTCCCAGGCCTGGGCCCAAAAAAATTTATATTTTTTCAATGTAGTCCCCTGCAAAATTATTAAAACCCCCTGTTAATTTTAAATAGATATAAATTATGAGGGTTAAAATGAAATTTTATAAAATTTATTTTAAAAAAAAATCTTCCAGGTCTAAAAAATTTATAAGTTTTACCCCTAAAAAATACTAAAAACCCCCAATAAAATTTTGTTTTGCCCCCAAAACATAAAAAAATTGAGAGGAGAAAATGAAATTATCCAAGGCCCATGGGATCGGTCCTAGGACCGGTCCTGGGCCTATGGGACCAGTCCCGATCAGGCCTAATCAGGACCCGAACTAGGTCTTAGGCCTGGTTCGGATCCTGATTTTTCTTATGGACCTGGGACCGGTCTCAAGCCCATGAGTGACTGGTTCCATTTGAGACCAGTCCCAAACGGGTTAGGCCTGGGCCCACAAGAGACTGGTCCCTTGCCCAGCTCTACATACGATACGAGGATTTAAAAAAAAAACAATTAGGTCTAAAAATTTTGGGTCCCGAAAAAGTTTTAAAAAACAGAAGTAGCAAACATCCATTGCCTCATCTGCCGCTCTTCTTCTTCGTCTTCGTTCCTCATCTGCCACTCTTCTTCTTCGTCGAAGCCATCTGTGATTGTTATTGTAAGTGTTTGAGTTTATTTGGTTTCTGTTCATCATGTTTTATGGTTTTGATTGATGATTGAGCTTGATTTACAACGTTCACTTCTTCGTCTTCGTTCCTCATTTGCCACTTTTCTTCTTTGTCTTCGTTCCTCATCTACCGCTCTTGTTCTTTGTCAAAGCGATCTGCCATTGTTATCGTAAGTTATTGAGTTTATTTGGTTTCTGTTCATCATGTTTTATTAGTTTTGATTTATGACTGAGGTTGATTCAGCTGTAAAGAACTCAACGGGATGCTAGGAAAAAGCGAAATTTAAACTGGTGCTTTGATGTAAAGAACTGAATGAGAATATGTTTTCGGTGTGCTTGTGCAGTCAATGTAAGCCTCCATGTGAAGATCATTAGCTGCTGATTGATTAGTTCTATTTCCATTATATTCTTAGTTTTGCTTGATGCCAATGTGTGATGTGGGTCAGAGGTTGTGATCTATTTAAAGATCGAAGTGAAAATACCCAAATGCTCTGTCCAAATGAGAATATGTTTTACTAGTTTTAAGTGTTGCAGAGCTTTTTAATCAGAGGTCTGACACCTAGCCTGTTGTAGATTGCTGGAACTTTAACTAGTAAATGTGTGAAGCAAATTAAAACTTCGCCACCATATAATTTCGTACCGAAGCTGTAGCCTATATTAGAGAATCTCAATTGACAGTCACAATTCCAGAGTTACTAGTTTCCTCGAGGAGAAGTGCATATCATCAATCTCACTTTGATAGTCACTCGATTTTCTTTGTAGCAAGCAAATGATAAACATATTGGATAACACACCATCAGATTTGGAAGTTGCATACTAATAACTAAAAAGCAAAATGTTTTCTTTTGAAAACTGAGCTTTACTCGAACCTAGGTAAGTCAACGTTTACTTTCGAGAAGGGTTGGGCATTTCCAAGAAGGATATATATCAATGGAGATACTTGTGTCATGCCACCTCCTGATTCCTATCCATGGTTGCCAAATGCGAGTTCTTTCCGGTTAGTCTCCCCACTTAATTTACTCATTACTTTATTGCCAACCCTGGCATTCTTATACGGGTACGCATAAACACCCGTCCCTGCTCTCAACAAAACGTGGGATTCTACAACTTCTAAGCTGAATTGTTTGACCCTGGTCCTCAATGCAAGCCAAATAAGACATTCATCCGCTAGTGCAATGGCTCCAGCAATTCAAGGACATTGGAATGAGCTCATATTTGTCCCAAAAACTGCATGTTTGTGCATTGGTGGATGAATTCACAGCCATTCAGCTCCATCCTGTTGTTGTGCTAGATGTTTGTTTTGTGCTTAATTGTCTACTTCGTAGAATTTCCATTGTAGATGTATATTCCATTTGTAACATAATTGAGAACTAATCAGAGAAACTAGAGCTAATTAATGCATATATGTGATCTTGTTGTTTATATTCTCTCCTTTTTCTCTCCGTTTATGCATTATCTTGATTCAAAATCAACTTAACGAAATCTTATGTTAAATAAAAGTAAAGGAGGTCAGTTCTCTATTTTAATTGAGAAAAATAATTGCCAAGTTGATTTAGCTCAGAGGGAGAAATGAGAAGCCTTTTTTGTGATGGCAAATTATGTTCTAGATGCCTATTGTTCTGGCAATACAAGGGAGAAGTATCCAACAGCAACAATGCCCAAACACCAACAAATTCTATGAGATTCATTATAGAGTACATATATAATTTGTCTACTCACAAATTCAATAATTCTTTGCACAATGCTACTGTTATGATTCCTCCAAAGAATTTTCAGGTTTTAAACCTCTGCTCCCACTTTTGTGTCCAAAGTTAACCTTCGTTTCAAAACTTGAATGCTAACTTTTTCAAAGTTTCAAGCTGGAGAACCAAAATTACCAAATAACACCAGCTTGAACATCATCATTTAATGTAGCCATCTGAGCTTAATTTCTCTTCTTCTTGTGATTGTTTGTGTCATTTCCATTGGTATTGACTTCATATGATTATTGATTGTTTTGCATCTTTCAAACTTCTTTAGTTATCATTAATTATGATGATGAATTTTTATATATATAGGTTTTCTTCTCTATGCACCAATTATGATGATGAATTTTTTATATATACATGTTTTAGAAGAAAGCAGGAAATGACGAGCAAAAAATACAACCATTCCTCATGGAGGCACATCGTCGTCTAAAGTCCAATTTTGAGACGTGCGACATAAAAAGCAATATGAGGAGGTGTCGAAAAGAGATATTTGCCTTGGAAGAAGTTTGGATTTAAGACTTGTAACAAGTTTGGGTTTATTTGATAAAATTAATGGTTGGATTTGTAATTTGAAATGAGACCAGTTGGTGAGTATTAGATATGATGGATATAAACATTTGATCTATGAGTTTTTTAGTAGTTTGGAAGTTGTGGAGATGGATACTAATGAGTTTCTGGCGTATACAATGTTTTTTAGATTAAATAATAAGAATTTTGTATTGAGACCACAAGATTTAACAACCTAGATAGGATTTAATTTTGAAGGTTTGGATAACGTATCCAGAACGTGGGATTCCAAACAAGCTTGGATGGATGTTTTTGGAATAGGGATTTACCATCCACATAGGTGTAAATCTACAAAGTTAAAGAATCTTGCTATGAGAGTATTTCACAGATTTCTGACTTACACATTTAATGGCAAGAAAGAGACAAATAGAAATATGATGGTTAAGGATTTATTGTTCATGGAAGCAACAATAGCAGGGAGACAAGTAAATTTAGCAAATTTATTGATTAAGAACTTGGCAGAGGTTCAAGCAAAAAAAAGAGAAATATATGGGGGATGTTTGTTACGTTAATATGTGAGAAGTTGGGTATTTAGATCACCCCTAATGATGAAGCAAATAAGATTAAATTTTCTACAAATAATTTGTTGGGGGATGTGACATTGTGTAAAATGAGTTTGATTAAAAAGAATATGGTAGGAGAATGGTTTGTGATTAGGGATGAAATGAAGGAAGATGCAACGGTTCAGGAATGTGTCATTGTTCCAGAAGGGGTAAATCAAAGACAACTCTATGTATGCAAAAGAAGAAGAACGAATATTGAACCTGGATTATCTCAGAATGTACAAGATATACCTTCTCATACTTTAGATGAAATAGTAAGTAGATTTGAGCGGATCGAAAAGTTTCAAGAGTAGTTGTTTTTCACGTATTGAGAGGAAAATAAAGAAACAGCATGATCAATTGCAAAGTGATTTCAACTCGTTTGCATCAAGAATAGAAGAAACGGTTAACATCCTTGGGGAATGCATGACGGCAATTTTCAGCATGATGAAGAACTTCTCAAAAACCTCATCCTCTTCCAGTCAACCTCCACCCCGTGCACTATGATGAAGAATTTCTCAACAACCTCCTCCTTCTCAACATCCTTGGGGAACGCACTATGAATGTTAATAGTCATTATGTGTGGTTCAAATACTAACATTTATGTACGAAGATTATATTTGCCTTTTGTTTATAAATATGTTAATTGTTAAAGATTGATTTTATAAGATGTTCTTGATAAAGATTGTCTTTTGTTTATAAATATATATTTTTGTTTATACATATGTCAACCACATTTTTAAATGCATATGTATATGTAATAGTAGA